TATATATACCAGTGATGCCACTTCAGCCCCCTCCTACCTTTTCCTTAAAGGTGTGTCCATATTTGTGTAATGATTAATGAAATGTAATGTAACTTAACATCGCCCAGCCATTGCATAGTATAAAAAAAGAGCATATTTTTTTAAAAAGAAGTGTATAAATTTGAAAAGGAGCAGCTAATACTCCCTTAAATTGCAATATTTTGTCCACTTGCACAGCACTGACTCTTTTAATCAGACTTGGATAGAAATGGTATTGTTTTCTTTCACTTGCTTTGGACATGCTGAGTCGAGCTTGTTTGGTGTAATACAAGTTGTAAAAAAAAAAAAAAAAAAAAGAGAGGCGCTCCCCCATCTGCCCATCTGGTGCATGGGGTGAGCTTTTATCACGCTACATTTGGTGCATGTGAAAGAAACAAACACTGTTTAGATACATGCTCTGCTGCAACAGCTGTTATCGACAGCCTCCATGCCAATTTCTTGCCCCCTAGTCTCATTGGAAGTCCAGCTTGTTAATGATAAATGAGGTGATGTGTTTTTGCACTTAACACAGTTGGACTCATATATTGCATCAATACAGTAAGGTAAATGCAATGCACTTGACTGCAAAAAATATGTAGTACATCAAGTTTTTAAGGCCTTTTCCTTTTGCTCTCTCGAACGCACATACATATGTATACAGTATGAGTAAGTATTTATATGCACGCACAACCTTACACGCTCCAAAATAATATACAAAAACCATAGATCTTAAGTTACCGCTGTCCTTGCTGTCTTTTCCTGCTTGTCTTGTTTTCCTCACCACCCCACCACTCGACTTTAACTCTGGAGTGCCCACTAAAACTAAACTGGCCTGAGGTTTTAACATTTTCTCTGTATGCCGGATTTACACCACATAGCTTCTCAACTTGTCAAGGTCTAAAAGGTCAGTGGGCTGAGCACAGTTAAGGCTGAAGCCACCAACCACATACAGCTGAAACTAGTTTGTTAACCCTGTGAGCTACTTAAGTGGCGCTCAAGTCTGAAACATGTAGTCTGATGTTTTGGCTTGTAGTAATCAATAGTATCTGGCTACGTATCATATTGGCAGGTAGAATTAGAGCTTTAAACCCTACATTGTTCTTTTAGACATTGCTGGTTAGCCTTATAGCTAACAGTGCTTTGTTTATATGTTCTCAAGTGTTAGTTTCAATAGAAGTGGTTGATGTAGCATGGTGCACTGTGTCCGGCTACCTACAGTATAGGGCTAGATAAACCAAAGCAGGCCAGGACTGTGCCAGGAGTTCTAGGGCAAAGGCTGATGTTGTCGTCCGACCCACCCCCCCACCCCTTGCCGCAACTTCTTGTCCATTAGACAAGCTGCATGAAATTAATTAACTGTGCTGCTTGTTTTTGAGTACATGATCATATAAACAGAAATGCATTTGAGATTTAGCTATTAGTAAAATAAGATTTGAGTAACTTGTGGGGTGGGTGTAATCATCCATCGAAACGCTTTCATGAAAGGTGACATTGTCCGAATAGTGTGACAAATATTTGCTCTTTTCTCTAGCTGGACTCCAGTACTTTTGTGTCAGATGTATGCCAGATTTTAGTGTCTCTGCGGGTGCTTATGTTGCACAGTTGGTGGTTGATGGTAGCTGAGGTTTCTCAGCTGCTCTTGGCTTGGTCTTTGTTTTTGTTCACTATCCAGTGCAAAACCTCTGTAGACATTTTACTTGTAATCGGAACTAGTTCAGATACATTGTAGATGGCAAATCCAAAACATTTGCATCACGGTCCGATGTGGACACGCAGGAGCAGCAAGATGGTCCATTAACGAGACAGCTTTGTTTTAGTAGCATCTTTTCTTCTGAAGCATCTGAACAAGGTACCGAGTCCGAATTTAGACCCTGATCTTTACCAGGTAATCTCAGTGACTGTGGTTACACAGTGTTATTGGGTATGTGCAGATGAACCATGTGGAATCCAAGGATGCGCTGGCATGCCAAGTTCAAACCTGACAAATTTACACTGGTTTCTGGTTTAAACTGGTTTCTCTAGTGGGAAGTTGCATGAAGACTGTGAATGATGCCATGTATTTCTCCCACTCAGTTTACCAGGTTACATCAGACAAGTTTTGTTTCCCAGTTGCTGCTTTTACCCTTAACCAACGCAACAACCTACGACTTGGGGCCTGTTGTGTCCTCACTGCAGAGGGTGTTCTATAGTTACTTCCTCCAGAGCTATTAAATGTGCTATCATGGTACAGCCAGAAAGCAGGTCTGGTGGTTAGGAAAAATAACTGTTTCAGAAGGTCTGATCCATGGCTCACATGTTGTCGACCGTGAACATCTGCCGAGCTCATTCAATGCAGGTTGTTTCCAGTTAAAACCCCGAAAGCTTGAAAGTGATTAAAGTTTTGGACTGTGTCTTTTTTTAAACTTCAACTGCATCTGAAGTAATATGGCCCTTTATACACAGCCTCCAAACCTTCTCCTGCTGTTGTCTGCTCTTTCTAGACCTTCTCAGACCTTGGCTTGTATGCTCATGTACTTGTGTGTTACTTGTGTTGTGTTGGTGTTGCTTTAGAGCTCCTCTGTTCAAATCCAGCTGTGCTTCAGGCAACCTTTCTTGTCGTAGGGCAGCGACACGCCAAGCTGTTGGGGATCGTCTTCCCGGTGCGTCTCACACCATTGGCACTAGTCAACCTTTGTGAGCAGTTTTTTGGCCGATTCAATGTGTTAAATCGCCGTTAGCTCATTGGGTCTCGTTTGCAAGGGAGAGACCACTCTGACTGGTTGCTGAGCTTAGTGAATCATTGCATAAGACTGGTTCAGCCTGCCACTGTAGTCTCCATGATTTCACCCATTTATTTCACAACCTCCTTTCTCCTTCCACAACAAAAGGACCACTGGCAGAGAACGGCAGTGTCCTTTGCAACTTCTTATCAGACATATTCTCAATTAGAGGCACCTATAAACAGCAGTTGTGTTGAACGAGAGGGATTTTGTTTATAGCTTATACTTCTACATTCTACCTCTTCTTCTTTCCCTTTCTGAATGGTGAATACAGAAAGTGCCACCGTCATGCAGGCGCACACCATACGTGCTCGTCGGTGGTTGGCTGTAGTCTGTGCAGTGTGTTCACTTTCTCAACCCTACTGGCCCAGACCAAGCCGACGTGAGGCGACACAGAGGTCAGCTTTCATTGCTGCTAGTTCTTTCACATCAGCTTGCAGTGTCTCTGCCCTTACTCAGTACCTGTCACTCACCCACACACACACTTCCTGAAACCATGACTTTTGCATGGTGACTAAGACTTGCATAATCACAACCCTTAAAGGTTTCTGTTGTCTTTTACAAAAGTTGCAAGTTCTCTTGTCGAGCTTCATGTGTCCTCTCCTGTCATGTACTGGATGGCTCTAGTTGTCAGTACTGTTTCAGTACTCTCATAGGTTACACATGGAAGAATTGATTCCAAAACGATGTCCATTATATGAAGGAAAAGTAACTTATTATTATAAATTAGTCTGTAGTTCCAGTTTAAATGTATGTACTTGCAAAAAGGACAGAACTTAAATCCTGATTTGACGAGGGGATGCAGAACACAATGCACTAAAGGATTATTTCCTTCTACAAATGGATATATTGTGATTTGGAATAGATTTTTTCATCTACTGTATCTTTAGTATCTATAAGTGGTGGATAGAAGTGACTCTTGCGGTTGGTAGATGTGTAAGGTATTAGGCTGCTAGGCAATGTTTCCGACAGTCGATAGCAATTTTCCTGTCTTTCTCCTGTGGGGTAGTACAGTGGCCTCTTCCATCCAGATGGGGCTCTTCATTTATTTTATAACTTTTTCCATTTGAATTGTGCTACATGTATTTGGCACTAACTGGGGAAAAGGAAGGATCCTTGTTTAAATGTGTGGATAAAGATGCTTAATGAATTGGAATTTGTGCTTTTTAGGCCTTTTATTTCTTTGTACTGTATTTTAATACTTTCTTTGAAATATGCATAATGATGTTAATGTGATGCTGTTTATTTGAATGCCATTCTAAATAGTCCAATATGGGTTTGATCAAAAGGCAAACTGATTTTAATGTGTCAAGACTGAAGTTTTATCTGGTGATATGAATTATGTGCTGAGGAGGAGGGTGGAGGATCACGATGACGGTGTAATGTATCTGGACTTCTGAAGCATGTTTTGCAAACCCTTATTGTACAGGTTATGTATTCAGTGTCACGTTACCTGTTACTGCTTTATGTGCGTGTTTCTTGTACAAGGCTTTTAATTAAAAGCTCTTTAAAAGCCAGTTTCCTCTGCTTTGCTTTTTTGGTGATGATGCACATTTTGATTTAGGGGTTTCTAGGCTTGATATCTCACCAATTGCATGTTTATGGAAGCAAGATAGTGAATTAACAGCTGCTGGAATGAAAAGTCTAATTTCTTTGAAATTAAGATAATAAAAATATTGTTACATGTATAGAAGTACAGATTTGTTTGTTTGGAGCTGGAAAAAAGCTTTTTATTTGTAAAGCCCCCATATCACAAATTTGCCTCAAGGGGTTTTGCAGTCTATTAAACGACACCCTCTGTCCTTAAACCCTTGGATTGGATGAGGAAGAACTCCCCAAAAAGTGGGAGAAACCTCAGGAAGAATTACAGAAAATGGAGCGCTCCTCCGGGAAGGACAAACGGGTAACAGATGTGTCTCTGCTTATCTTGGTGTGCCCATCACACCTGCCCAATAAAGCTGGTTCTGATTCTGATTATTGTACTCCATCTCTCCTGCTAGTAAGTTATCACCCTGCTGTAGTTTCAAAATACACCACAGGAAGGTGCTGTTGAGCTATTTTGGTGCACTCTGTGAAAAACCAGAGCAGCTTCTGTCTTTTCAAAGTCTCACCACCTGATGTGATGAATACATCTAGTTCAACCAGCTGTATTTTTCTCCACAGGCAGTGTTTCATTTTACTTTTCTACTATTCAGTCTGTTGTAATGGACGCAAAAAGGAGAGAGGTGAGGTCCCTCTGTTGCCCTCTCCTGTCGGTTTCCTCGTGGGCAGGACACCACTGAGCTTATGAGTCAGATGAGACTAAAATAGTCGCTGTGGTTTGATATGAGTGGTCCATATCTGTGTGTGTAAAGCAGTCACCTTTGGAGATTAATGCTCTGGCTCCTGCTGGTCACTGCACTGATTGGACTGGTGTTTGAGCCTCTGACTGTGGTGGATGTTCAAGTTTAATCTCAAACCAACCCCACTGAATATTTTTCATGGTGTTAAGTTTTAACATATGAAAAATACATCCATCCATTATCTATACTGCTTATCCTGAAGGCACACACACTCACTCTCACCTACAGGCAATTTAGAGTTGCCAGAGAAAGATATAGAGCCCCCTCCTGTCACTCGAGGTGTGACAGGTGCTTTATGATGTCTGATGCACCTCTCTTGAGAACTGCTGATGTTAAGGGCAAGTTTGGGGAAGTGTAGCATGATTTGAGTGTGTCTCCATTCCTGTGAGTGTTGTAGATCCACTTGAGTGTTTTTGGCGCTATGTGATGTGCCTGTCCGTTAGAGGATGATATCCCTCTGTGGAATATAATAACTATGCTAACTGCAGCTGCACACTGCTGTTCCTTCAGGCTCATCGATTCATTTCAGTCACCCCAACTGTTTCTCCGCTATATTACTGCTTGAAATTGCACCATGCCTGGCACATCTAATTTGGTGTTTTTCAGCAGTACTGCTGGCGGTGGTAAGGGGATCTGTAATGAGTCCGGTGGTACACAGCAGACTTTCCCACCATCTCTGCACCACAGTGGAAAAAGAGCAGGCAGCGGGAAAAGATGAAGCTTGAAAACAGCTCTCTCAACTCCGTGAAGTAGAGAGATGTGAAAGTGGTAGATCTGTGGTAGGTAGCTTTTTAAAGTCATTCTCTCTGACTAGCCTTGAATTTGGTCCCTAGCAGCAGAAATACTGTGAGCCTCTTGCTGTGTTTCATACTAATACTATCGTTAAATCTGAGATGACTTGTGGGTTGAGTCAGAAGAAAAGCTTGATATATAGTGATCAAGTGAACACGCACACCTTTCAGCCAAATGACAGGCTGGGCTCATTCTGGGAAAAACAAAGAGCGGAGACAGACTGAGGCCTAGGGGCTGGTACCTTTGCAATCACGGTGTAGACTTGGTTACCTGGGAGCAAAACCTGGTCCTCATGTCAAACCACCTTATGCTAAACAGGAATTTGATGAGACAGAGAGAAAAAGAACTCACAGTTCATCTTAATGAAAATCTCCCAAACCAAAAATAGTATGATAACATCCTTCAGTGGTGCCCAAGAAATACACAGTGAAATATAAACAAGTCTCTGTTTCTAAGTACTCTATTTTTATTCCTAGTTATCTCATTTCAATGAACATTCCTTTGTCTGTCTGCATTGCTTACTGCCTATTTATACTGCTTATTTTGCATTGTTTGCACCATTTGTTGCTTGTTAATGCTCCTTATTTTGTTATATTACACAGCCTTATGCTGGTTTACTGTCTACTTGCCCCTTGCATGGGGATATGTACATACACATTGAGAGCCGATGTACCAGAGTCCAATTCCTTGTGTGTCCGACACACCTGGTTAATAAAACAGATTTTGATTCTGAAAATGACATCTCTAACTTGCGTATATCATATCACAGTATCTCAGGCTGTCACTGAAAACTTTGACTAAAGCTTGCAATAGTTCAGAAAAGGAAAAGACAAGGATACATAATTAGTGAATAGTGAGAAATGAGCTGGTTAACAAGCATTACCTTGCCTCCAACTGTTCACCTTCACATATTCCAACTCCAAACAGCAAGTTGATGGAAATATCTTCCAAAACAGTCGATATCAAAACAAAGCCTGCCCTCCCAGCTTTCCAGAATGCGTGTGTGCAACTGGGAGTAAAACGACACATGCCCAAACACACACACACATTCACCCATCATATCCCAGGTGTGTTCGAGGCGCTGCACTGTTCACCTGCCAAACTGGATCCAAGTCCCTCCTCCCGGGTGCCAAGGTGACGTCACCCTGGAGCCCGACAATCCCAGCATTCTCTTAGAGCAGGGCCACAGGAGAGAGCTTTGCCCACATCACACAACTCAACAGACACTGTCATTCTTCCAAAACTTGACAATAATTAAAACAGTGTTTGAAGCCATAAGTCAGTCACCTAAGTCATTTGGAGTCAGAGGGATCCAAGAGATGAGATTTATATTACAGTAACTGTAATTTTAAGAGGGCTATTTTGAAAACACACAGGGCACTTGTTTTAACTTAATAGGTTTCTCTGCTCAGTTTCAGTCACTGAGAGAAGGATAAATAGAACAATCAGACAAGAATTACAGAGCTGAGGACATTATCACCACCACACCCTGCAGCCTTTATGTTATGACAAACATTCTTTGCAGAAATAGTTGTCATACCATTACTATGAATAGTAACAACATGACACGTAGCAAATCAACTAAATAACCTGTCATGGTTACGCTCTTAAGGAGCAAACAGCACCAAGAGAGCATGGCAATTATTTACCATTGTAACCCCAAGCACTGCATTACACTGTATTTCTGCAGGAGTGTAGCTGACATACAGAAATATTCATATACCTTCAGGTATTTGGCAGGGACATTTCTTTGTTAATGTAAAGATACTAGTGTTCTAGTTCTCCCTGTCTGAGTGAAAAGCATGTAGCTCCAGCACATAGAATATCTCTGTTATGTCACTAACAGTATAGGAGTGTGTGTTTGAGTTCTTTCACATTTTTGCAGTTACAGCCACAATTTATATAATTTAAACTATCTTTGTACTTTGGTTAGAATATTCTTAGCACTTTAACTATTCAGTCACATTATGAGGTCTCCCAAACAACTCGGTCCCACTTGGGATGTATTGTAATAACGTCTGTGAACTTTCTATCTGGCACCTCGTTAGGTAAAATTTTATTTCATCCAAAAGTGAAGCAAAACTATAATGACTCCTCATCAGCCTCAGCTAGTTTAATGTTAGCATGCTAACACACTAAAGGCCCATATGGTCTAGCGGTTAGGATTCCTGGTTTTCACCCAGGTGGCCCGGGTTTGACTCCTAGTATGAGAACATACCTCCGGGGGCAACTGTGGTTCAGTGGGTAGAGTAGTTGTCTCCCAATGGGAGGTTTGAGTCTTGGTTCCTGCAGTCCATGTGTTGAAGTGTCCTTGGGCCAGACACTGAACCCTCAAGTTGCCCCTGATGGTTAGAGCCATCGGCTGAGCTACCGCAGATGGCTTCCTCGGTTCTGTACTGGAAACAAATTCCCTGTGTGTAACCTACTTGGCCAATAAAGGTTCTTAACCAAGATGGTGGACATGGTAAAAATGATACCTACCTACACATCAGCATGTTCTCTTTGTGACCATGTTAGCATATTATTGGTGCAAAGCCCCACTGTGCTTAATGTAGAGCCACC